GAACAAATTTCATTTTCCCTTGGTCAAATTTCCCCGGTTAACCGATCTGTATCTTTGAGGATCAGCAAACCTCAAAATGTCGAAGATAGCGCATTGACAAAAGCATGGATTTCTATTCACAATTCTAACATGTATGGGTACTGTAACAACAAGCATGAACAGCATGACATATAAAGGCCCTGTCACACTATTGCGTATGAGAGAAACGTATGAGAAGCGTATGAAAATTAATGAAATAGTTTTCATACGTCCGATACGCACAAAATTTTTGAATATGCTTTAAAAAAAATTTCTGCCTCGCCGTATGCCAGCGTATGCCACCGTACGCAACCGTGCTTGAAACATATACAACCTATGCCTAACGTATACGTCTGGCGTATGTCAGCGATTACCGGCGTATAAGTGATATTTTTCATACGCTGGCATACACTAGTACGATACACATGCAATAGTGTGACAGAACGCAACGTTTGATATTATTATGCTTATGCCGCATGCGTTTACGATTAGCATTTATATATAGCCCAAATTTACTTGTGGATATGATCAAATGCGCTTTATACATCAAGTATTACGCTTATATCTAATTTATTACTTTTATACTTAGCCTAGACTATTTTATCTTCATGCACAACAATGGACCATTCCCCAATTAACCAAAATTTTGATCTCAACACGTCCAGAGAAAATTCCATCATATAGCATGAAAGAGCATCATAAAATTAGTAATATTCCAAAGTTTCGTTGCAAAATGTTGTAAAATGCGGATAATATAGCCTTGCGAAGTTTGTAATTTTCAGTCATTTTGTATACACAGAAGTGGTAACCATTTCCCGTTTGTAATCTAAAATGACTGAAAATTGCAAACTTCGCAAGGCTATATTATCCGCATTTTACAACATTTTGCAACGAAACTTTGGAATATTACTAATTTTGTGATGCTCTTTCAAGCTGTGATGAAATTTTTGTCTAGACTTGTTGAGTTCAAAATTTTGGTTAATTGGGGAATGGTCCATTGTGATATTACGTTCTTAACTGTGTTTATCCTAACCCTTGCACCCTGTCAACTTTCCTTGTGGAAACCGGAGCACCCGGAGAAAATCCACGACTTTTGACAGAGGGTTATGACTGACTCTTTTCACATGAGTACAGCGTTTCCATGTGAATCTGTGCGTCGTATAGTGAGGACAGTCCTTCGGAGGTGTTCGTTTGCGCTCTTATATAGTGTAGATTTACACAAAGTTGGTGTCGACACAGCTGTATCTTTTTAACACTGAAAGGGTGTACATTAACACCAAATTGGTGTCCGCACAGCTTTTGGTGTTGTGGTACGTAACACTCCCAGATTTACAGTGCGGAAATGGGTGGGCACCTTCCGACAGGGTGATGAGAGGGTGCATATTCTCTACTCCCCAGCATGAAAATGGAGGCGTTTGTATAGTCTGCACGCAGGCGCTTTTAGGCTATACTATATGGCTATATACTAGCTTAGATCATGTTCTCTTCGCCATTAATAACTGTGCGGCATAAACATTCTATTGAGTACATATTATTGAGGGTTTTCACATTTGAACTTTTCAATAAGCGCGTGGGAATATTGATTAGGGTGGGAAAATATTCACAATTAACCTTTTAAGTAATATGAAAGGTGTGTGCAGAACGATTGTTGAATAGGAGCAATGGGGGTCGATCAATAGAGAAATATCTCGTATGAATTAGAAAAAAATACATTGACCACATTCATAAGCGTACGGGCAAACACGAGCAAGTTTCCTGTGACAAACTTACATATGGCAAGTTTTATTTATCAATGGATGATTCCAGCTACATATAGACTAAATTTTGCAGACAAGAAGGACGAAATCTATCATTATAGCTTAAAAGAACATCCTTAAATTAGTAAAATTACCAAATTTGGTTGCAAATAAATACGGAAAATATTACCCCTGTGAAATTAGCAAATTTTGTGTATTTTAGCATTGCGCGCGGGAAAATGCACCACTTTTGAGCCGAAAGTGGTGCATTTTTCCGCTACTAAAATACTCAAAATTTGCTAATTTCGCGGGGCTATATTTTTCGGATTTTACAACATTTCGTAACCAAACTTTGCAATTTTACTAATTTTAGGATGCAGTTTTGAGCTATAATGATATAGACTTCGTCTTTCCTATCTAGATAAAAAAATTAGTCGATAGCTCGAATCATTCATTGCACGTGTGTGTACGTATATACAACAAAGTTTCTAGGACAGGTTTTTGGTTTTCTGACCACCATACGATAGGTATATTATTAGCTATTACAACCTTAGATCGTTGACCAACCGAATGCAAGTGCTCAAATTACTTAGCTAAAATTTCTTTGTTGACCCGTACGGACTTTGCCAATGGCAATGATAAGTGTATTTGTTCAAAAGCTACAATCTTGGACATAACTGGTTGAGACTATTTTCCCCCTATAGAAAATTCGCGTATTTTTATGATAAACTCCATGTTGAATCATGTTGCCATTCTTAAACCCCCGCTCCCCCAACTCAATGTTGAGCTTGTATATCATGGTATATTACCAAAAGTTGTTTCGGCGTTGTTCACAACATTGAACTGTGGGGGAGGGGGAGACAAAGTTTGTTTTGTCAATGTTCAATAACTTTGTAATATTAGCTGGAATGGTCTCAAGGGTTTTGTCCAAGATTGTAGCATACTATACTCTATAGCAACGCTGATTAAGTTGATTAATTAATATATACAATTTACCAAATCACACCTATATCTCATGAAAGTTTTTATTTTTATTACTTTTCATGCAATTGTATCGTGTAATACTATATATTTTAACGTTATTTATATACTTACGGATATAATGTTTTAGACGCGCCCTCAAATACTGTGTCAGTGTGTGGTATAAATATTCTATTGAATACATATCATTGAGGTTTTTGTTTTCAAGGAGCGGCGTGAGAATATTGATAGGGTCGAAAACTATTCGCGAGTTAACTTTTTAAATGATCGTATGATATGTTATTGGCAGGATCAGCGCATATAGAAAACTTGAGGGTCCTTGAATTCGGAAAACAAAAAGTCATAAAGAAGACTATTTTTAGCCATTTCGACATAATTTTTCACGGACCAATAAGATGACGCCATTCACGACGTTAAGAATGTATAGTCGCATTCCCGAATGGTTTGACCAGTGAAAACTTGACATGCACTTTTTCAAGTTAATTGAAGCATCCACGGTTTTGGTAATGCCCACGTGATTGTTCGCAAATGCATGAGCGTTGGTGCATATGGCAGATGTGCTGGTTCCTTTTTTATTCTTGGAGTATATATACATTTGGCTGTGAAATTTTTTGCTTCAATCACATATGAGTGATTCCAGTTTCATGACATTCAAACTAATTATGACCTCTGCATGCGTGCATGCGTATCAAGTAATCAACCTTCAGAAGAATCACAAAAAAGAATCACGAAAATATAAATATCACAAAAAAACAAGAGATTACAAAAAATCACATTTTCTATTATCTCCCACACTTGTAAAATTCTTCCGTGCGTGTAAAACAAAATAAAGATTCGAAAAGGTCATCCCATTTAGCAGTTAAAGAATAAAGGGAATGTTTTTGTAATCTGCACTGTAAATCTCTAAGTGAGTGGTTGAACAACTGCTCGCTCTTTGAAAATCTAACTGACATATGGCACATATATAATATTTAAATTGTTCACTGAATCAATCGTGCTTTCAAGGCAGAGACTCTGAGCAGTTTCATTTGCAAGCAATATGTATAATAATTTCAAATACAGTAAATTTTGCACAAATGCCAAATTAATCCAATAAGCCTTTTAATCTGTTTGTTTGTCAAACGATACAAATCGCGTTGTGCAAACATTATAAATAGGTCATGACAAAAACATAAGTTGAAACGCGCGGAACCAATACGCGTTAATAGTCGCGACGCTTTAATTCATTTGCGTCGGTGGCTTTGTGTGTTTAGCAAACGAGGGTAAATAGAATTCATTTAATGTAATGTCATATAGTAGAAAAGACACATATTAAAAGCCATATAAGGGCGTTCAACAGTTTAAAAATAGGTTTGGAAAACATAAAAGAAAATGAGCCTCTTTGCACCGCAATTATAGACATGATTTTTCCTTGTATCATGTATGTTATAAACACAATCGACTAAAAATATTGAATAACTCTTTTTCGTACTGATAATCCCATGCATTGACAGCTACGTTCGTGTGACGGAATATATTGATGAAGACACATTGAAAGCCTGATCAATTTTTTTCTAAACTGGTCTATAGGCACAAATTTACAAATTGGGGCAAAAACGCAAGGTCATCCATAATTAGCAAATGGGCGCAAGATTTACGTCACGATCTACTTTGATCGCAGTAAACCGAACACCTATATAACTGCATGTGTTAATTTGGATGTGATTTGAGCCCGATTTTAATATATCCCGCCTGTGGTTATAGTTTTAACCTTGCGTGCGTCATAAAGTGTTTCCGCGGAATTTATGAATGGCTGTGAAGCCTTGTTCACTGAATGGCTGTGAAGATTTGGTTCACACCTTTCCCAGCGGACTTTGGAATATAGTATTTTTCATTTTTTCACAAACCACGGAAGTTTATTGCAAAATACTACCAACACACAATGAAGAATACCTATTAGAATAATATTATTGTAGAATAGCTATATCTACTCTTAATCCCACGTATGACATATACTACTATATAATTTGCGACTGTTTTTGTTGCCAATTAATTGTGCTTGAACATATACCTTTTCATGCAGTTACGTTTCCAAATTTGCGCTGTATGTCTGCACTGCATGGCATGTTATATATATAATAACATTTAATATCCATCTTTGGTTAGAAAAGTACAATGGATTTACCAGAAGTGCTAAGGTTAAAATTGATAAGAAGAAATTTTACTATTATTTACATCAATGTTGCTAAAAATGTTTATACTAGTTATATATTCTATAAAATTAATTTAGGACTGTTTTAAAAGGGATATAGCTCTAGGTATAAAGGATTGCCGGTGTCTTTTTGTATACGATACAACATATGGTAGATTATTAGTTGTTCTTAGATCGTGTTCATGTGTAAAAGGTTGGGGGATAAGTTTATTACATGGGTTGGTCGGATCACTTAGAATTCTTTGGTATTCCTTAACAGTTAGGTGTGCCCTTCTTTGTTCTAGCGTTTTAAAGTTGCACCGAGATGTGCCGAGGATTTTGATGCATCTATTTTGAATGCTCTCTATTTCATCAATGAGATATTGTGGTAAACCACCCCATATCGGAGCTGCATATTCTAAAACAGGTCTAATCTTGGATTCATAACATGTAATACCGACCTCAGGAGGAAGATTCGCTCTACGGCATTCTCTCAGACTAAACATTCGTTTATTTGCTTTCCTTACAATGTTCTTAACATGACAGTTCCATTTCAAATTGTTTTGATGCCAGACACCCAACAGTTTATGAAAAATTACTCTTTCCACTGCCTCGTTTCCAATGACCAATGGTTCTGGTGCCGGTATTGCTGTGTTAAAACATATCCACATATCTTTTGTTTTCTTCGATTTTATCGTCATTTTGTTCCTATTAGACCATTCTTGTACTGCTTCAAGGGCCTCCTGCATATGGCTGGATGAACCTTGTGACACCACTTCGTCCTGTGTACAATCATCCGCGTATTTGCATATATTTATGGATAATCCATCTGGGATTGAGTTCTCAATATCGTTAATGTGAATATTAAAAAGAGCTGGGGACATCACAGAACCTTGTGGGACTCCTGCAGGACAAGGTTTGTTCGATGATAGGGTTCCTGCTAGTTTGACCTGTTGTCTTCTATCTTCCAGAAAACTACGTGTCCATAGCCAAATGGCTTTGGTTACATTCATTTCTGCGAGCTTACGAAGTAGAATTCCGTGGTCAACAAGGTCAAACGCTTTGCGAAAATCTATGAATAGTGCATGAACTCCATTTTTGGCGCTATGCGTATTGTCGGTCACATTAAACCAGTTCTGCGAGATGTTGGTGAGTGCGGACACGGTTGATCGTTTGCTTGTAAAGGCATGCTGATTATCATTTATACGTGAACTGGGAAGGTTCAGTTTGAGCTGCAGCTTTTCCAGCACTTTAGCCATTTGGGGAAGAATGGATATCTGGCGAAAGTCATTCTCTATATCTCTTGGTGGATTGACCTTCGGAACTGGGATAACTAAGGCGTGTTTATACGCAGTTGGATATTCACATTCTTTTATACTGGCGCAAATAATGTCATGAACGATGGGCGCTAGTTCTTCCCAGTATCGTTTAAGCACCCATGCTGGAATCCCATCGGACCCGGTGGCTTTT